AATACATATTCAGTTAAACTGATAAATATCAAAAGGACCCTGTGTGTTCTAAATATACAAAACTTAATTCTTACTGGTAAAATTATATTTTTTTCGCTTTTTCAAAATAATTTTCTGCTGCAAAAATGTAATTTAGAAAATCTGTTATTACAGTTCCTACTAGGAATATGATTTTGACCAGGAAGAATCCTATTTTGGTGATCGATAAATAGAACAACAGAGAGGAGAGTACTTTTAATGAACGTAAAAATGGCCTGTCATAATGGACTTCATATAAACTTAAGTATCCTCCATGATGAGCTTGGGGCGACGACCTTCATTTGCAGTTTGTCGTTGACTCTTCAGCAATCCCTCATACGAGCGTGCATGTAATTACAATGGAGAGGAAAACTCCCTTTAAAAGGAAGAAACCTCCAGGAGAATCAGGCTTAGTGTGAGTGGCCATCTGCCGAGGCAGACTGGGGTTCAAGGAAACAGAAGCAGACATACAAAAAGAAGCAGATATATAAATGGTAACCAGCTCCACAGAAGGCCCGTCCAGGAAAGACACAGCCAGGCAGACAAGCTCCAAGCTAATTCTGCTAGTCACAGTAAAAGAAACATGACTACACTGGAAACAGGCCAAGCTCCAACATCTATAAACAGAGATGTTGATGGCAGCAGCGTAGCTGATATTTCCATCCAGGATGGAGTCACAGCCCAACAGGAACAGACCAGATGAAGCTACTATGATTAGAAACATAAAGAACATAAAGTAATGAGTGGAACTTGACAAATACTGCAGAATGGGAGAATGGAGATGGATAATTAAGCAGAATGATGGGAAGTGGTCCCTATGTGATCCAGCAGCCCAAACATCTAGCAGCACAAATACAGAAAACAGCTCAAGATAACTTAACTATTTTGGATGAAGTAGAAGAAAGGTAGAGCCAAGGAGTAAGTCTGTCCGGCCTGAAATTCTCCCTCCGCTTTACCGCTCTACCTCCACCTACCTCTCTACTCACACAGGGATTAAGCAAACATCCCTCTGTTTTTAACTATAAGCTTTATCAAAAAGGAAAGTTTTGAGCCCGACCTTAAAAGTTGACAGGGTCTCTGCCTCATGGACTAAAAGTGGTAGTTGGTTCCACAGTAGAGGGGCATAAAAAATATAAGATCTGCCTCCATTCTACTTTTAAAAATTACGATTAGGTTTACTAGAACCACTAGTAAACCTGCATACTGAGAGCAAAGTGCTAAGTTAGGAACATAAGGAACTATTCGATCTCCCATATAAGAGGGAAGTTGGCCATTAAGGCTGGATATGTGAGAAGGAGGATTTTAAATTCTATTCTGGATTAAACAGGAAGCTAGTGAAGGGAAGCTAAAATAGAAGAAATATGATCTGTTTTTAATTTTCATCAGAACTCTGTCTGCTGCATTTTGGATCAGCTGATGGCTTTTAGCTACAGTTTGAGGTTTCCTGGTAGTAAAAAGTACAGTTAATAGTAACTAATATTAATTAGTTACTAAGTTTAGCATACAGTTATGAAGCCTAAGGGGCCCTTTATTACATGGGTGAAATAAAAATCAACTTATAAGATAAGCTCCTATGTAAACGAAATTAAGTATAATGTCTCTGTTCTTCTGCTGTTTTAAAAAAGAGGATAGTTTAAACTGCAATGATCCTCTAAGGTTTATAATGCCATTATTAAAAGTGTTTTTAAAAATATTACATAAACTGTAAAGTGAATTTGATGCAAAACCTAAAACTTTAAATCCAGCTGAAAATCCAAAATTTATTATGTCAACATATATTTCTATACCTTTTGTTTTGTTGTTAATCTTGAGTTTTCACCTTAAAATTACAGATTATTCGTCTTCAGCAGGAACATCAGATGGCGTTTATGCCACCATTCCTGGATTTCCGCCGTCCCAGCCGAGCAGTAATGAGTACAAGGCTATATATGACTACATAGCACAGGTCCAGACATTCAACACAGACTATTATATATACATTTTACATTTGTTTTTTCATCTTTTATGAAAACTTTAATTAACCTGACAGTTCATGTTTTTGTTTTAGGGGGAAGATGAACTCTCCATATCAGCCGGGGATGTTGTGGATGTGATAGAAGAGGGAGAAGATGGCTGGTGGACAGTACGAAGAAATGGTCTTTCTGGTTTGGTTCCTGGTTCTTATCTTTCTAAGGAATAAACCAGGCCTCCCTTTTTACATGTACGTTTTATGGATTTTGATTTTCTCTCCGGATAACCCACTTTGCTGCCCTTAGCTACATCCAGAAGAAGAGTAATGCTTCCTTTGTTCTGTACAGTGCGTTCAAACTAATGACCACAACTCAGTGAACCACTTTATATCAACAATCTAAACAGAAACTGTTGTTGCCACAATGATATCTGTAAATAATGGCCCAAAAAAACAGCAGCAGTTACTACAAGAAATTACATGTTTTAGACAACTGTCTACTGTTCTCCTTCGTGAACTATTGACAGCTAGAATCCAACTAGAGCCTTTGCACAGGAACATGGCACTAATGCTTATTGACAAACTTTAGTTTTATGTTAAATGGGAATTGTTTAAATGTTTGCAGGATGTCTGTTTTTACCTTGAATGTAATTTATGTCCCTTTATTTGTATAAAAAACTAAAACAGATAAGTTTAAAGTGATTATTTGCATTTATTCAAATAAAGGTATCCTAAGATTAATATTAAGTTTTAACTTTTACAAAAACAACTTAAGAAAAATGCTTTAGTTTATTGTAGCAGCAGCTATTTTGTAAGGCAGTTTATGAGAAGAGCAATTGGGGAACTATTCATAGGACATGCAGCTGAGTTCACTGCTGTCTGTGGTGTCTGGTTGCTCTTCAGTGATAGGTCACTAACTCAGGAGCTATCATATAACCGCAGTGGAGTCACTTTAAGCATGTATGAATAGTTACAAAACTGACTAGGATAGACAAAAGGGGTCCGCTGATTAAGCTGGGTCAAAATAAACACACATAAAATATATCTACAGTTTAGAAAATAGCAAGTCCTCTTTTAAATATGGTTTTACTTGGCAGGAAATAAAACAGATCTGATTGTTGACATGGTAAGACTTGAATATTTTGGAACCTGAGTGTACAAAAGTAAACAGTGGACTCCACCCCTCATTATTAAAGAGATAAAAACAAACAAAAAAGGAAAAAAAAATTCTGTGGAAAGTGGTGTGAAACTGAAAGTTCTTCTAACCTCACTAGCTTCTTTCACCGTTATGACACACATCTCTTCTAAACAGTCTGCTTAACTTTGAGGTGTGTGGGTTTTGGTTTCTTTCCCACCACAGCATTTCAGCGGAAGGGGGGGTTTGGTCTTATCTTTGGCAAATGAGAAATCTGCAGTATAAATACATATACATGTATAACCAGTTATTGCAAACAAAAAACTGCTCTTCGCCAAGGTCAAATACACTCTCAGGTGACATGCTGGTAAAAGTTCTAAGTCATCCAGGTCATAGTCATTCCAAAAAAAGGAAAGGAAATTTAAAACCAGGCCCTTGGCTTTTTTTTCCTTTTTTGAGGTTTTTTTGTTTCCCTTTTTTTTGGGGCCCGGTTTTGTTATGGGGCCCGGTTTTCCCCTTTTTGGAAAAGGAAATTTGTTTTTTTGGGAGGGGCTTAAGGGAGGCTTTTTTTTTTATGAAAAAAAAAACCACCTTTAACCGAGGGGTGTGGTGTCAGGTTTCAGCTTTCAAAAACCTACAATGCAGCAATTGAGTTATCGTCCAACTATCATGGCAGCCCCTGCATAGGAGAGCAGAGGACTTTGTCTATTCAGCCAGGCCAATAAATCCCTTTAACAACCGACCTTTCAGACACTCAGACGGGTATGGGGCATTGCAGGCTAACAAAAGAAGCCAAACGACCCCCATTCCAAAGGGGTGGACCCATTCGTCCTTTTCAATTTGCATGTTTTCAAAACAAAAACAACGCTTTCTTGGGCTATACAATCTTAAACTCAACCCTATTCCTGACATTTGAATTAAAAAAAACCTTCCTGGATGGGAAGCAAAACGTCTTCAAACTTGGAAACAAAGTCCAGAGGATTATTTTTAATTTTCTCTCTTTTTTTTTTTTTGGGAAATCTTAGGTCATGGTTGCTTGGCATTGACTTAAACTTCTACTTGGGAAATGACTAACTTGTAGGTATAAAAGGTTTTATATTGTCGAGTATTAACCAAATCTTGAAAGACAAACTGAAGGGGCTGTGTTCAAAATGACCCTCTGGAGTCAGAGTCAGAGCAAGAAGTGACCACTGCCATGTCATTTTTCCTTCCCATGTTGTTGTAATTTGCCACCCCAAGATCTAGCTGTTGCCCTCTATCAGAGAGGATGGCAGCAGAGATACTGCCTAGTGGAAGGTTCGAAGTAATTCAACATTTTAATTGTTTGTATATTATCCATAAACTACCAGAAAAATAAAACAGAAATGAATTATTCACATAAATATATTAACATTAAACCATTAACCCAATCCACTTTTTTCAGAGCTAGTTTTTGTGTTTTACTGTGGTGGAGGGAAAGTTGTGTTATCTGCAGTCATCTGGGACTCTGGTATGTAAACAGAAAAAAAAAAACATCCACACAAACGATTTATTGTTGCTAATATGTAGAAACATGAATGGTTTACACAGCATAGATTCATATGATATTAGCAAGGGCTTCAAAATTCTAATCTGAACTGGTTCTGCTGCTTTTTGCCACACATGAAACTTTTCTGGCTCTCCCACTTTGTAGAGTTCAGTAATTCTGTGAATAACAGTTTCTGACTAATGCCCTGTTTTTTTATGATAAATTTAATTTAAAAAAATCTTCATAAAGTCCCAAAGGGAAATTGAATGTTGCAGTAACTCATAGGGACTGTTTTTTTTTTTTATTGAGTTGTTGCAGACAGGAAAGATCTTCCGTATCGGTCTTGCACCAAATCAGGAAAGTTTCTGATGTTGTTTAAAAATCTTCTGAAGAGGATGTTCTTCACTTTATGAAAGAATTTACAGAGGTTCTACAGGAGTTTCTAGACAGAGCTGTCCTTCTTTATTAGCTTGTTGAGCTTTTTAAGTCATTAGATCTAATACTGTTACCCCAGCAGATGATGACAGAAAAAAAATCACAACAGACTTATAGAAGATATGTAGAATTTTACTGCAAATGCTGAAGGATATAAGCTTCCATAGGAAGCCCAGTCTGCTTTGCTCCTTCTTGTAGATGACTTCACAGTTGTGTCTCCAGTCTAGTTTGTTGTCCTGATGAGCACCAAGATATTTATATTCCTCCACCACCTCTACTTCTACCATGACAGGATACAACTTGATCATGCTTCTTCTGAAATCTACAATCATCTCTCTTGTTTTGTTGATAATTATAATCAGATGACTGTTTCCACAGCATGCCACAAAGTGGTTCACTAGCTCTCTGTATTCAACTTCTTGTCTATGATGCACCCAATGATTGCAGTCCTCTCAGTATTTCTGCAGGTAACAGGACTTTAGTCCGATAACAGAAGTCAAAGGTACACAGAGTTTAAAGTAATGGAGAGAATACAATCCCCTGTGGTGCTCCTGTGTTGCTGACTACGGTACTTGATTAGACGGCTGACCCTTCAGTCTAAAAAACTGTGGTCTGTCTGTCAGGCAGTCTTTGATCCAAGGGGATTGTTGATGCGTCCTGAGTCCACTTGATGGACTGAGCAATGAACAGACTTGATGATAAGACGGCTCCTAAACTCTAAATTCGAGCTACAGCACACTGTGAGTAGCTCAGGGATAATGCTATTGGGATTTTTCCATTACTATGGAGTATGTCCTTTTTAATGTACATTATACCAGAGATCATGGATCATTTGAATACATCAGATTACAGAAAGAGGTCATGTTGCATTATGCTGAAAAGGTGCATTGTAGTGACCACACTATCAGAAAACATGTGGGAAAGAAACATATTTACGTGGCAAAATGAAGACAGTGTGTGGTATATAGTGCAATAGTTATATCATGCGGTGCCTGTCCACAGGCTGGTTGACTCATCCATGTTTATTTACAACATCCATTTTACTTCACTTACTGGTTTATAAACTGTAATTCAGCTGACTGCAGTGTTCATCATGCGCTAAACTTAGGCCAAAATCTGAAGCTATAAAAAAAACCCCGTATGATTTATGCATTCTATTTTAAAGTTATAACCAAAAATAAATATATGAGAAGGGGATGTTTTGCTTTTAGACAAGTGTTTGATAAAATAATATAGAACAAAAAGGAGAGCACTTTAATTTCTCTGATAAATTAAATATAAAGAAAACAAGTAATGAGTGTATTATTAAATTTTTTCAAACTTATTTTTGGGCTCTGAGGTAACGGTTGTTTTATGATAACCTTGGCTGGAAGCTGAATTCTCCTTGTAACACACAAGAATGATAATGTGTAGAACTAAACCGGATTTTTACACAATATCCATTAAAGTGTTGCTTTGGCTTAAAATCTTTAAAAACATGGAAATTATGCTGGGGATTACTGTATGTTATGTAAATACAAGGATGTATAAAAAGACTTCTTAATTCATCCATTGTATTTAATGGGATGATGAGAGGACAGAGCAAGGTAGGCTCCACAGGTTTAGGGTAGTACTGCCCTACAAATAAAGAGAAGTAGGAATACTTTCTAAATCAGGGATCACCTGTTCCGTCTGTGCTGGTCAGAGAAACCTGTCTGATTAGAGCACACACAAAAAAAGTGCATAAGGCAAAACATTGCTCCTTTGCAACAGCCTGCCTCTTAATCTGTGTGCAAGTTATATTGCACAAATCAAGGAAAGTTTTTATTATTCGTTCCAGTCATCTGGCTTACCTCTTCCTCTAAATGGCTCCTTTTAGAGGTAGTAGGTTTGCTGGATCAACACCACAATCACTGCGGAGGTTAGGAAAGGAGCTCTGGACTTGTGTGATGAATCGGGGAAGCCTTCAGCCTAATATGTAGGCATGTGGTTACACACATGAATGACACTGGTCATATTGGGAATAGAGCCTTCCAGAAAAGAACAATGAAAATCAAAAGTTACACAAAAGTAGCAAACAGGTGAAGCTCTCTGATAGAATCCCATAAAATATGAATTCGCATACATTTCCACGTGTCACACAGTACGCAACAATAATGTATTTTTGTTCAACTCCAGACGGGCTTTGTCTACATGTCCTTTCACGCAAACGATCGTTGGGCAAAGTTATAGCTTCTCGCAGCAGTTAGGGATGCCAGGAGTGAATTCTTTCAAAGGAAACTATTCGCTCAAATTAAATCCTCATTACTCCTTTAATTTGCTTTGTTTTGCTACAAATGGCAGAAATGTAGTTATGATACAGGAAGCTCTAAACCTTTAAATTACCAGCTTTTATTTGTTTGGCTTATTAGAAAATGTATAAACAAATACATACTTTCATGCAGGACATTTTTTTATGATCTTTAGTAAAGACAGAAATATGCTGTGGCATATTAATTAATGTATTAATAACATTTTACAAAATAAGAAACCTTATCTGACAAGAGTGACAGAAAAATCATTATTTATAGAACTCCAAATTATAACACATTTAAAAGAGA